CAAACGTGATATCAATAATGACTCATAAATTTTGCAACATATTGAGTGTATGGAAATTGCAAATAATATTGTCCATAAATTATTGTTATATTTATTTCGAACTTTTTTAAAGTGACTGAAAGTGTATGATGGTTGACAGTCTACTGTAGTAGGTGTTGCTCACAATTTGTTGAACGCCGGTTTTATTTAACATTGTCTGTTCTAGAAAATACACCGCTGATTGATTAGAAATAGCACTCACGTGAGGAAAAAAATACAAAGTTATTGTCGAAAGAATTCCGATGATGGAAAGGCATAATCCCACATATGTGATGATCTCCAGGATAGTTACGTCCTTGGAGGAGAGCTGTCGCAAAGTTAGATTGAACAATGAATTTATTGAACCAACACACTTATGATCGAAATGCAAAATACAACAAGAGTAAAAAATACCTCTGGCCACAACTGAAGTCAGCTAAGAGAGAAAAATGAGTCAGATGATTGCATCTGCAAACTGTGTCTTCTGAGTTGCTCTCTGGTGGATCTACATAACAGCCGTCTCTTGAAAACCCTTGTGGGCTGGAAAAAAAAGTTACTAAGACGTTTTTGATCTTGAATGAAAATTCGGAGTTTCGAACATCATCATTCATCCCTTCGAATTGGCATTTAATCACAGTCGTCTTTTCCGTCGTAATACTGATCACTCTCTTCGTATCGCAGTCTCCCTTGTTGTATTCCACTTTGCATCTTTTAACTTCTCCGTTGCAGCGCTGAAAAGAATTGTTTCCGCTGTATCTTAGATTACATTTTTTAGCCTTACAAGTTTGCGCACCACTCTCTTGACTAAATGTCAGAGTACAAGTATAGTTCCCATGTTTGCAAATCTGCTCGTTTAAACTGCCAGTCTGGCAGACGGGTCGTTACTACTGTCGCATTCCTGATGATCCAACGCTAAGCCTGACAAATAATCACGATGGTGAAAATAATAAGGTTGACCCACAAATTTTACTGAACCAGTCAACACCTATGCACAACCCCTAGATGGATCCCACATCGAATGATCTTTGACATTTCCACAACACAACATTATAGAAATATCTACCTTATTGGTACCTAAATTCGTGGGTCTTTAATTCCGCGTACTGGGCGATTGCAAAAAAATCGCCAAATCAAAGACCTGCGAATGAAAATCAATGCTAAATTGAAAGACGCGAAATTAGCTCCCTTAAGAAAATTCAAGTCGCTGACTAAACTGATCAACTCGTTACAATAACAACATCTACAGGATATCTACGCATCGACAAATACTCAAATTATTATTTGGTTATACTGGTAAATTCTATTTTGTAACTTCTGTTCTGAAATGACGTTAACTTGCAAAGAAAGATTTCGCTCTCTTCGTGCATATTCCTTAGAATACTAGGACGCGTGAATCACGAAAGTCAATGCCCCTTTTTCATGTTTGCCTTTTAAAATCGTCAAAATATAACCCCGCGATATATCTCCTCGCCAGTATTGCGGAATTAATTTCCCGCGAAGTTACAGTTCATGCCTTACTTTATCCTTTTTCAGCAACAAATATCCAACCATCATGAGGCTGTTTAATGTGACCGAGCGGGTGATCAATAAATTTGCAGCTTAGAAATTAAATTGGTTTCTTCAACATTTAATACTGAATATGAGATTTTTAATATATGTTTTTTTTTTTTAAATTTGATATTTAGTAATTATGTCTTGGGTCAAACATGATGATTTTTGCATTTTCATTATTCACAGAAGTAACTGCCCTTATGAGACTAGTCAGTGAGGTTTAGCTGGTGTCTTTTTTTTTTTTTTTTTTTTGCATAGTTGTTAAGAAAAATATCTACTCGGTGTTAAAAATTGTTTTTGTATGAGAGAGTTGACTTTTCTACCTTCGTTTACTCAACTAATTGAAGGAAGTTTTTAAATTAATAATGTTTATGCTAGCGATTTCGATGAAAAGTGGACGGGAGACAGATGAAGAGAGTCTGCATTTTCTTTCAAGAAGAAGGCCCGAGGAGGGGTTTTTAGGTGGCTACTGCTTCAGCAATATGTTCATTACCACGGGGAGCGGAGAGCTAGGTGTTAACCATTCATTTACCTTTTCCAGAATTGTCATAGCTTTGATCTCAAAAATCGAGCTCAAATTACTCCTTCCCACTTTGCATCTTTGCGCAAGAGTTTCACATCAACACGGAGGACCTTGTGTTTAACCAGACTTAAAGTAATTAAGGAGTTCAATAATGGTATGGTACGCTTGTTTACCAAGGAACTCTCCCTTAGAATGAATAACAAGCTACATAATCAGAAAACGTCTTAGGCTCTATCAGTCTAGCCTCCTCTTTTTCTCCGCGTGCTATTAGGAGGACCATAGGTTCGAGTCATGTCTCGAGATATGCTCGTGGTAATTATACTTACTGTGCAGAAAGTCACGTTTTTAAAGGAGCATTGGTACTCACTCAGGAGAGTTAATAATAGTTGTGTGGTTGCCCATATTTGACAAGTTTTGGTCTTTATACTTCTTTGAGAGTTACGTGTGTGTTACTAACGTGTTCGAAGAAAAGGACTATTTTCTCCAATTTGTATATCCTGCAGATCTGAGCAAAGTTCCATTCTCAGAAATATTTCAGAGAACACTATTTTGTAAAAACGATAGACCTTGCGTTGTTTTGTGCCAGAGCGAACCGTAAATGGAAAGTATACAATGCGGGAAATTGACTGTTATGCTAATTAAAAAACTGGCGCAGAACAGTACAGTATATCACACCTGTCTTTGCCATGCACCACAAAGTGTGATTGATAATATCAAAACCTTCTTTCATGCGATAATAGGCATGATAGCATAGTTTTATTATATGATTTGTGTTTTGCTTTACTAGATACGAATTTCTTCGCTGCGTGGACGTTTTATCGTTTAATTAACGATGATGAATCCTTAATTTTAGACTACGAGGATCAGAGCACGAGTCATACAGAATACGGCAAACGGTATTGATTTGTTTATTAGGTATGATTGTTTGTCTGACAAGGTGATCACTTTTGATGTCGATCGCGACGTTTCGACAACATATTGACTGCATGTTTTCGACGATCAAAAAACTATTTAAGCAATACTCTGTCGACCTTATCGCCTGAAGAAGACTCGCAGTACACAAACGAAATGTCGTTATTTACATCGAAAGTGACTACGCCTTGGAAAAAAAACTTCTTTTTCTTTATGTGCAAGTGTATTCATCACGATTATTAGCTGCAACCTTATCATAATAATAATAATTTTATGCTTAAACATGCATAAGGTAGATAAAAAATACAGATTTTTTCGTCTTTTCACGAGCGTGGGACAAATAAAAAATTCTGAGTCCCCTTCGGATTCCTCGTCACTGAGCCACACAGACTTCACGGTGAGCGAGGTCTATTACGAAATTCATATGACACGCGTCCTGCATACAGCTAGGATCAACAAGATAATAAGAGAGATGGCAAGTTCTGAGCTCGGTAAAGGTTTGATCCTTCATGGGGACTCAGAATTTTTTTCTTTGTCCCAGGCTCGTGACAGGACAAAAAAATCTTTCTTTCTTTCTTTACCGAGCTCAAAGTTTACCATCTCTCCTAATCTATTAACAAACATGCGCATACTAGTTAACAATAGTTTTTCGATTAGCTGTTTCCTCCAAAATTTCCCACGAGTCAATAACTACCTGTTTGAGTATACCCTCAGGGTCTCCAAATATTATGGGGAAAATATTCTAGAAAGAAGAATCGCAAATTAATGGCAAAAAAATACTGGCATAGTTTCCAATTTTTTTGCTTAAAGATTAGTTCACAACATGAATAAAAAATGTTTCATTGGTGTTTCTGCTTGTTGTTTTATTGGTGTCAAGATATTTTCTCGCTGATGTAGCGCAATTTTTCTTCAAAATTGCACGTTTGACATCGAAACTGATATCACTGAGCAGCAGATTTCTTTTTCCATGTTGAGTTATATTTATCTGAATCTGAGATAGCTAGGCAACTTATGAAGCAATTAGCATGAAATTCGAGAAGTCTTCTACTTCCACCCTTACCACACGCTTGAGATTTTCTTGGAGATGCAAGCGAATCTTAAACGTTTCGTCTCTCTTGGCGTGATTAAAAATAAATAAACTCTGGAAGCTAACGTTGAATGAGAGGTCCAGTATGTCTTTTTAACTTTATCTGAGCGTAATACTTTTTTAAACCCGCATTTAATTCACTGAAAGACTATTTTTGTTTTTCTCCATGTCATAATATTGAAGAAAAAAGCAAATGAACCGACGTTTGCTATTGAACGTATGTAAATTGAAAAGGGAAAACACGTTTCGTATTACTTGTTTTATTTAGTATCTTATTATCATTACCACTCTCATTCATGGCCATTTTTAATCATTTTTTAACTCATTAATGTTTGGTTTGCTTAAAATCTCCTCTCTGGAGCTACTTAAGCCAACCTTTTCCATTACATAATATCGCAATATCGCACTCCATGCTCTAGAGGGCATTAGTTTCAAATTCAGATTCTTGAAAGCAATTGGCTTTTGTTGATTACGAAGAATGTTATTCAAATTCAGGCAGTGCATTAGTGGCGTATATAAGGTAATTGTTTTGCACAAACCATTGAAAAGTTCTAATTAACATTTTTTTTAGGGTAATTTAACTCCCTGAAGACTTCTTACATTGAAGAGACAATATTCTGCCTTTTGTCACAGAACTGTTATACGCTTATCGTCATGGAGCGAGATTTTGAGAAGTCTATTTGTCTCGGGAGTGGAATATCTTTTTCCCTACTTTCATTTCTTATATCAGTTCTTAATGGTGTGACTTTGGTGGCATTATACAGAGACCCCCTTCGTCGCTTCAGAAAAACATTTTCCGTGTTTTTGATATTTATTGCTGCGATGGATCTGTTCGTTGGCATTGCTGTTTGCCCAGCAGAGGCTGTTATGAGGCTTAGGTGTGCATTTGGAGAAAATTTTTCTCCTACGGAGGGAGATTTCCCCAGAATAATGGGATACATTGGAGTTAACAGCTCAATTTTGCTCGTTACAGCCATGTCGGTCGATCGTTTCGTTTCTGTTGTGTGTCCTTATTTCTATCTTCGTAAAGTCAGACCAAAACACCTCGTCTTTTGTACAGTGATCATGGTTGTTTTCTCTACCATCTTCGCCTCTCTTCAGCTCGTTGATTTGTCTCGGGATGTTTACGTTTTAGTCGATATTCACTTACACACGACGTTTCCTCTTGTCGTAACTACAATGGCCTATACCGGGATTTTCATAACTTTGCGAAAGAGCCGCTCTCGCGTTGATTTGCAAAGACAGTCATCTATCTCTGAAAACCCAGTACTTAGCGACATACGCAGACTAAAAAACACCCAAAAACAGCATCGATGTGCCACAACTTCGTTTTTAATCTTAATTTGTCTGATTACTTGTCTGGTTCCCTATTTCGTCGTTGTTCTTATTGAAGCAAACTGCGACAGCTGCCACGATCAGAAATGGCTGTTGATTTTAAGAGTAACTTCCGAGATATTTCTGAACGTCAATTCTGCAGTAAATCCTATTTTGACTACATTTAGACTTAAAGAACTGAAGCGATCAATTGAAGTAGTATTATGTGGAAGAGAGAACATCAATAATGTGGCAGATTTGGAAGATCAACATCTTCAAACTTCGAGAGCGCATTTATCCAATTGTCCACGTTAATCAGAGATGGAGGAATCATACGCACGGGAAAACCTAACTCCGATCATTTTTATCAATGTAGAAACAAAATATTTCAATACGCGACTGTATTGAATTGATGACTTCTACTAAAAATTTAAAAACAGCCTCACCAAGGATACAAGGCCACAACCATAATATAAATCATTTGTCGAACAATGAAGCCTTACGTTAGTTTAGTTGTTTTTTTTTGGGTTTTTTTTTTTTTATAATTTTCAGCATTTTTTGTGTTCATCACTTTCACAAGACATAGAAATAGAAACTTCATTCATGGCTAAAATGCACAATCCAAACGGTAAATTGTGAAGTCAGACTATCTGGTGAAGGATAAAATTTCGTGATATTATACTTTTCCTATTTTCTACGTACGATGCTCAGCGAAGCTTATATAAAGGAGTTTCTAATGGAGTCTATTGATCACAGTATTTTTTGGCCTTATCGCTCCACGCAAGTGTTTTAATACCCTACGGCTTGCAGTTGAATAGACTCATTAGAGCAGGTGTGCATTGCCTAAAACGCCACTTCTTTGAGGCTAATCATCATGCATTAAAAGGAATCTTATTAACATTAACTCAGTCCACGTAGTAAATTCTGACGAACAAAAACAAATCCAACAAGCTGTACTTTCAAAACGAGCCTTTTGAAATAGAGTGATCAATACCTAATATACTCTCACGTGTTTCAATGCATCGTAAAAAAAATTACTGCTTTCAGTAATATTTTAGGCCTTACCAGCGGCCTAAAACGTCAAATAATTGTAAATCGTTTCTGCGTGGTGCATTTATCAATAAAAGTGGACCCTGTTTACACTGTCAAAGACCCCACATATCTTAAATGAGCTATATTCATTTTTTTTCTTGGTCTGGAATCTTAAATCCTCGAATCTGATATTCCATTCCCCTTGGATGACTGTTTAATACAGGTTTGACTGTAAGAGCAGTTTACTGCTTCTGAATTGCATAGTAAATTTTTTGTTAAAATCTACTTGCCACTTCGCCAGAGGGAGAGATTTACAAAAACCGGTACGATTTTTAAAATTTTTTAAAAATTTTTTTTGGTTTTTTTTCATCAGAACAGTCATAACGTTTATCAATTTGCAATTTGGGTGTTCATTCATTTTATAAAGAAAATTCTTACGTTTGGTACCGAAATGCTTTCCAAAACACTCAACTCCTGTTTGTATCTTTGACCTAAAAAATTTAGGAGGACATTGAAATAAACGAACGTACTTCAAACAAACAATGAATTTAAACTTTTTCTTGGTTTTTTTTTTTCCTTTTGGGATCCGACACAAGAACTGAATCAGAAGTTAGAAGTTCATCAAGCCTTTCTCTAGATAAACTATCGTAGGGAGATACGACGAATTACTGTAGCAAGAATAAATGAACATAAATAAAGTTGATACTCACCCATAAATCTTATCAACAATGCGTTCGTAGTCGATGATTGAAGAATGTTCATTTCTTCGAGAAATAATTTCCCCGCGGCTAAAAAAGCCAACTTAAGCCGGATGATGCACTCGCTATATGATAGAGTGTACTATATTACAGTCGGTATAATGGTTTGTCCATTATCTTCTATATCGTTGTGTAAAATTATTGCTCGTGAGTGCTTGATAGACCGGTATCCAGTAAATGGATGATTTCAGCTTGTATTTTGTTAATTTTTAGCGACAGTCAAGCTTTTAAAATGCAACATATTTTTCTCGATTTAGAACTGGCTGACATGTACAGTGTGAACGTCCGGTATTTCATTTCGCAGTTACACCACAATGTCATCTGAAGTCAGAACAAACATTTTCTATTTGTTCTTGAATAGACGGAAATGACCAATTTCAGACATTTCTTAAGAACTACCATTTTAAGCGTCGGGGTTACTTTTTGAAATCTATCGCAGTTTTGCCGTAAACTCTTTAATCTCTCTTCTAACGGCTGTCTTATTTACATGTCATTCCTATTTTACTAACTTTTTTTGCCTAAAGCAAATTTAAAATGGGCATAAGTTTTTTCTGCCATTAGAAACCTGCCCCTGACAGCCCATTTAAGTTCAAACTTAAAAAGTTAGAAAAAGCAATAACAACGAATAATTTAAAACGAGACCAAAATTTTTGTAAATCAAAAATGATGCACTGAGAAAGTCACAGTAGGAACTACAATTTATATTGAAAGTAGAAATCAAATAGCAGCGCGCTTATAAGGATCCTTAAATGTTTTCCTTGTTTTCTGCATTTGTAAACCAAAAAGAATTAAAAGTCATGAAATTGGAGAACTACTACGTTTGTTTCTTGATATACACGAGTGTTTTTGGGACAAACTTCTTCAGTGCAGTGCTTTTCTCGCGCCGATAAACCTTAACTCGCCAGTAGCATTACGCTTGAAATACCCTTATCATGATATCAAACCCTGAAAAATTATTTCCGCCCAACACGGAATTTTTTTTTTCGGAAAATATTCGAACCTACAGGAAAGGATACGTATAACAGGAGCACATGATCCTATATGAATTGTATGTCCAAGATCCTGAAATACATACCAGCCTTGCAACTTACTTCCCCTCCCTTGGTTTTGCATTTAAAATAAGGTATCCAAACCTCCTCCTCCCCCCCCCCCCTCCTTAGGGACAAAATTAAACAAAATAGACGTGACTTCATTTGTATATTCCTGATAGTTTATATTTCCTCAAAGGTGTTTCGGTGATAAACTAAAAGTAGCAAATGCGAAAAATCCCTGTAAGAGTTGCCACTTGTGTATATGCATTCATGTTGTATCTATCGATGCCGACTTTTTCTCCAACTAGTTTTCATTCCAACATTTCAAGCAATACACTTGATCAAACATTTCGACTCTGAGAAATTTGAGAACATTCGTCATTTTCCTGACATGGATACAAAAAAAAAAAAAAAAAAAAGGAAAAGAAAAAAAATGTGGCTTTAAAAAATAATAATGATGACTAGATAGGTGAATATGTATTTATTATACATTTGTTTATTTATCCATTATTGCTATAGGAGCAACTATATTGTGTCACATTCAATTTGATTACGTATCTGACTTACTATATGGAACACGAAAACAGATTAAAGAAAAGACGTTAAAATCGTTGATTTGTATGTTTAACACAATTTATAGGCAATCAAGCTTTTACACAGTTTTTCTCTTTTAATTTTAGGGCGAACCCTAAACTTAACAATAAAAGTACAAACATTGCAGTTGACTAACTTCAACGGCTTGGAATGTAAAGCTCTTCTACAAGTATTAACATTAAGCAGAAATATCTTAAGAAGGGCGACAAACCGAGTGAGATTTATATCATTGTATCCGTTCCATTAAAACGAGGGTCCAAGCATGTACTATTGTTGTTGGCAGTACTGTCTCCAATTTATCCAAGCTACCTTTGCAAAGAGCCTACTTCCTATGGAAACAGATAGACCCATGATTTACCAGGATGCCGAATGCGGCCCTTCGTAATAACAATTAAAGTCAACAGCTAATAGCATTATATAAGCGGTTCATTTATGTATTTACGTCATTACGATAATTACCAGAATGGCCCTACCTTTAGTGAAGGGGGGGGGGGGGGGGGGGGGGGAGGGGTGGCATCGGGGTCTACTAAACCGCAGAACTGAAAAAAAATAAATTTAAAACCGCAACAAAAATTCGCTTAAAGCCGAAAATCGCATCCAAAACCGTCTAAACCGATTTTTCACATCCTAGTTGTCAAAACCCTAATCGATCCAATACAGATGACAGATGGAGCACAAAGAGGTCTCACAGCTATGGAGGCAAAAAGATTGCCGCTCAGATCAAAGAGGAATTGGAACCCAAATAGGAAAAGCCAAAACTACTTCGAACTCCAAATCTGAAAACCCATCAGTATTTTTGACGAAAACCGAAAACCAAGTGCCAAAACTCGGAAATCTGCGAAGCACAATAAACACCAAAAGTGTAAAACCGAAGTTTGTTTGGTACAAAACCGAAACCGATCTAAAAAAATGACGAACACCGCAAAACCAAAAGCTCTACTGAGGAACTACTGAGGGAAGATCATGCTAAGTGATTGCAAATCGCTAAAAGAGGATTGACTAGCTTCACCGAGGCGCAGTGCTATTTATGCATCGAAAGACTGCATTTCGACTGCCCGTATTTTCCCGGCATCACTTGCGTTAACTCGTGAGCTCTTCCTTGCAGAGTTTCCAACTTCGGAAGATGGAAAAATTGCGTTCATCCTCCTTTTCAATCGCTCTCTAATCTGTAGATGAACAATTGGCCAAATATCAGTTCTTAACCATCCAAAGCTCAGTGATTCTAAAGTCTTCACAATTCACTTGATCTACCTACCCTGTTTGATATCTTTCTTACCTGGCTGTTTCGCACACAGTGGAAGAAAAAAATCAGGAATCCCTAAGACAGAAAATTATTTCAAGATCAGCCTTTTGTAGAGATGGCAGAGCGTCGTTTAAAAAGTTTGATGTAGTGCAAACATCTTGTAATCTCTTTCTTGAAATCGTCTTTAAAAAATGGGTAAAACAGTAAATTAAGGGAAGTTGCAGATCTCAAACCAAGAAGTAAATCTCCTCTTGTCGACTAGGTTACCTTTGAACGGGAAATGTCATCAGACTAATGTAGCAATGTAGTTTGGACATTCAAGTTTGCAAACAGATGATTAGATTTCCGACAGTCTCATTTACATCTCACCTGAATCGAATTGACGATGGTGAAAATGTAGGCGAAAGCTTTTTGTGATGACGACAAAAGACCGAATACTCACCTGAGTTGAGTTAAAGATGGTGAAAATGTAGGCGAAAGCTTTGTGCAATGGCGACAAAAGACCGAATAGCCACGTTATACCCATCAGTGGAATCATCACCGCGCATGTTTTAAAGCCAAGTCTGCCGGAATAACGACAACATTAAAAAAAAGTTTGAATTATTTGATTGTTTCCTGCACATGATCATGAATTAACCTCTTCAATGAATAATTAATTAATTTCTCACTGTTTATTGCTAACTAGGGTGGAATTGAGGCAAATACCTCACAACTAGATGTTACAGCAATTGGTTCCCGTTTATTTAACTTTTTTCCCTCCACTGATTAAAATATTTCGCTAACTACAAATTTTAAATCTCACCGTATCTGCTTGATATGAGTGTCTTCCCCCATAGGCTGCACTAGCGTGGTCATCTCTTTTATGACTCGGACGAGAATCAAAATGTTGAGCTGAAACAAACAAGGAATGTCAAATATCGGCAGAGTGGTTGTTGCTAAGACGAGTAATGCTGAATACATTGTGGGCGTAAATGGAGTTGAAAACATTGTGAGCTTTGAGCCTGGTGGTCGAAAGCAGAAATGTGCTTTTCCTTTTGTAATAAGCATGGGAACAAGAGAGACGATCTCCACCGGTGGTCAGTTTTGGCATTAAAAAGGAAAGTGCGAGGGACTGACTAATTTTAGACTCACCACTTCAACGAAAGCCATAAATGCGGCGAATATCCAGATGAGGTTGTTTGTGTAGGACAGCCAGCAACTTGAAACGAGAAACGGAGGGAAAAATATAAACATATTTTTGCTGCAAATAATCCTCTAACCCAGTAACCCAGAGAAATAGAAGACGGGGAAGGAGACAGAAAGAGAGACAGAGACAGAGACACAAAACCTGGATAAAAACACAGGGACACAAAAATCTACGAAATGAAACCGAACTAAAAACACAAGATTGTGGAAAAAGAGTTGTACTTAAAAGAATACACTTTTGTAGGAGACAGGATATGTGGATAAGGAGAAAAAAGAACTGATGTCGAAGGTTTCTCTTACTATTTAGCACTAGTAAAGCTCTCTATTCCATCTTTTCCAGCAGCGATGCATAATGAAATACCGACCGTGACGATGGGTAAACCTAAACATAAGTAGGATGTCAATGCAAGTCGATTCAGGTTATCATGAAGTCAAACAATTCAAAACAAGTAAAATGAAAATACCCCATGACATGACGTGATACATGTGCATCTTTTCGGTGATGTTGTAAACTTTCACCACAAAGAGGTAGAGGTAAAATCCCTCCACCAGCATCCAACAGAACGAAGCCATCAGGAAATATTGCATGAAGGCTGCTGCTGTAATACAAGAAGCCTGGGAGAGAGAAAAAAAATTGTCTACTTTTCATGCATCTTTTCAAAGAGATCTGGTGTACTTCTTCGTGCTCGTCATAAGCTTATCAAGCAAATATTCATAAATGGATGAAGAAGTCGCTTACTTCGTTTTCTGTGGCCTTTATCCCGACGAGAAAAATAAATTGTCCAGCTCCGAGGGCAACAGAAAGACTCAATCGTATTTGTGACAGAGGCTGGTGAACATCTCTAGAGAAACAATAAACAAATAAGAACAAACAGACCAAAACAAAAACAAAACCGAACAAAACAAAGGAAAGCAACTTTATGTTGCAACAGGCAATTGTTTCATTATGCATTGACTTAGTGTCTATCTTTTCGCGAAGAGGTCTTACTTACGTCTGACATTTTTAAAGTAATGCAAAGTTTTAAAATTTCTGGCTGTAGCACTTACGTAAGGAAGGAATATAGAATAACTGTCAAAATTATTCCTATGATTGACAGGCTTAATCCCACGTAGGTGATAATCTCCAGAATAGTTTCGTCTTCCTCAGTGAGCTGCTTCATAAATGGCATGAAAAGAATTAGAAATGTGTCAATCACCTCAAAGGAATTGTATTACCACTAGTGAAGGTAAGGTAAACATTAGTCCATTACCCCTGAGCTGCCGTTGTAGTCAAGTAAGACAGCAAAATGAGTCAAATGATTGCAGCTGCACACTGTTTCTTCTGAGTTGCTTTGTGATGCAACCACATAGCATCCTCTCCCTGAAAATCCTTCTGAGCTGGAAAAATAACGACAACGTTAAAAGAAAAAAACACAAAAAAATTAAAACAATAACAGCAATATTATAAAAAAAATTGTAGAAAGACCTTTGGTTACCAAAAGGTCAACTTACTATCTTTCTCATATAATCGTAGCCTCGATACTTTCTTGACTACTTTCCATTTTATTCAGTAATTGATATCTGCCACTCATAGAGTCGGCTTTGATATTCTAGCCGATACGATGTGATGAAAAGGTATATTGACGATCCAGGCGAGTAAAACACAACTGTATCTTAACTTCTATGAAGAAAAATTGAAAAAACGGAAAAATAGAAAAAAAATCAAAGGTAAACTTCTAATTTTGCGGTAACAAAAAAACGATTCTGTCAGCAACAATATGTACGACGATTGCAGAAGCGAAAAATGGCGACAACCGCAAGTGAAAAGGAATAAAATGCATAAAACAAATAGCTTCAAAACAGGAAGTAACAGATTGACAGTGATGGATGTTTGATAACTTTAGGGAAGTCACATTGGCATCATAGTCAAGTGGGGACTTTTTCCACTCGAATGTTATTGATTTTTTTGGTTTTTCCTGCTGCAAGAGCTGATTGGTGTTTCCTTCATTGTGATTAACAAAGATTACGGAAGCCTGGCTTGCATAACTTTTTAGAACAAGGTACGTAATATATTTCAGTTTCTTACCTTTTGTTAAAGCCCCTCCAAAACACACATGTCTTTTTTCTTTCATTAACCTGAAAATGTGTATTATCTCCTTGGAATAAATAAACACAGTGTAGAGCAATTGATACCAATTTTGATCGTGTTCTTACCTTCAGGTTTCTGAACTTTAATATGATATTCGCTTCCAGTTTTTCTGGTTTTGGATCCATAGCCACGGCCATTATCCTAGAGTTCAAATACCTAACAAAAAAGGAAAGGAAAATTATAATTTTGTATATTTTGAATCATATAATTTTAGAGAAGTTGAACTTCACCTCGTGGCTTTGCCTGCTTCATTCCTGACGAGTTGATCTGTGTCTAGTAGTTCGTGGAGATCCTTATACACAATCCCAACAACCAATGAAACTAAAAAAAATCGAATAATTAAAAAGGCTGAAGCACAGTCAATATAGACTGTGTAAAGAAACAAACACACTCAGGACTCTGTTTATGTGCAAATGAATTTCAATACCGCGTAAATTTGAAAACAAACAAACTCAGGACTCTGTTTATCTGCAAATGAATTTCAATACCGCGTAAATTTATAAGGGAAACAAGGGGAATTGTTCTTATACAATTTAGGAGTAAACACTGCAGTAGATACCAACCGGATTTCGGAAAGTTTGCAGACAAAACATTTATGCTTGCTTGCAATTCTTGATCCTCAAGGTAGAAGTCACTTGCATTTTGATGGTAGGCTTTATGAATACCTAGCACTAACGAACAAAACAGCAGGTGATGGTTTCAATAATTTCACGACTCTTGCTGGACTGAAAATACAGTCTGTACACCATGGTTGTATCAACGCTTTTATTTACTTTAGCTCTCAACGAGTGCAATCCTTAAAATATTGTAAAACCATCCATAATAAGGGGTCTTATGATTGATAAACACAAATAGTCAATGGACGGACCAGATGGATGGATTTGATCCAGCAATAGCGCTTCTCATTCAGTAATCTGTACAAATTTATTACATCATCAAGGCCTATAGACCATATTGTGTTCAGACTCACCCATTTTGTGACTGTCGATCACTTGTGGGGACCTCGTTCCAATCAGGTGGAGCTTGCTGTAATTAAGAGCAAATTCCTCAAAGGCAACTGCCACCTTAAAAGTGGATTCTCTTCTTGTCTCAATCTCTTCTGTTACAGACGCGTGTTCACGAGCTTTTGTGATGCTTTTAATAATGGTGATGAAGACTTCTAAAACCACTATGGCTTCCTGTAATGAAATGTTGTATTTTGCTCAGCTAAGGTACCAAGAATTTGTGGGTAGAAAACAAAAAAAGATTAATAGATAAATGAGAAAAAGTATTCCAGCGAGAGAGCCAACCAATGTCGGGTACAGATATATGTGCGCAGGTTAAATATCGACTCGTCCAGGAGGATCAATTATTCAGTTAATTCAGTTATTGTCCTATAATTTAAAAACAGATAAAAATTATACTGATAATTATGATCATAATAAAACTGATAACGATAATTTATCAATAAAAATTCCAATAAGATATTTCTTACAGGCATGAAAAACTATGTAGCTCGACGTCGTAATCAAATCAAAAATTATAAGCCATTAATATTTTACTTTTACGAGCAATATGAGACGAAAGCAGAAAAACTAACATACCGACAAAACATGATTTATACGCTTTGTGAAAATTCATATTTGCGGATTCTGTTTGAACATTAAAAACAGACCGACGGAGCATTAGTTGCATAACTGTGGAAAGAAATTAGTAGAATAAAATACCTGCAAGGAACTGACATTGGTAATATCCATTCTGCCAAGTTTAGAGACATGTTCAGCCGCCTGAGGTAAGGAAAATAATAGTTGAATTGTAGAGTATGAGAATCCTAAAAGGGAAAAACAAAAACAAACAAAAAAACGAAAAAATTACACACCAGCTTCTGGATCATTTTTGACTGCAATGGCGATGATGATGTCAATGGCATCAATGACTGTGATGGCAAGGGCGCGGATGAAAGCAAGTAAAAAGGTAACTGAAACGACGGCAACTGAGACTGAGACTGAGAAGGTGACAGGGAAAGCGGTGGCCAAAGCGATGGCGACGGCAACCAAGACTGCAACTGAGACAGTAACTGCGAAGGTGACTGGAAAGATGACTGTGATGTCAACTGAAAAGTCAAGTGCGATGGTGAAAGTGATGGCAAGTGAGAGGCCATCTGCAATGGCAACTGGGATAATGTTGACTGTGAATGTGGTGTTGAATGTAAATCCCAGTGCAACTGAGATGGCGAATGCGACAGCAACTGAGAAGGCAACTGTGACAATGAATGAGAAGGAGATTCTGACGACGATTGAGGGAGTGGCTGGGAAGGCGATTGGGAAGGGAACTGCAGCAATGACGGGAACTGCGACTGAGATGGCAAATGAGACGGTGTATGAGAGAGTGACTGAGACATCGACTGCATCACCGACTGCAAGGGTGACTGAGACATTGACAGGGATGGTGATTGTGACAGTGAAAGAAATTTCAAGGATGATGACCACAGTGGCGGCGATGGAGTAGGACGTAACTTTCTGGATTCGGATGATGAAGATGCGTCTGCAGTTGACTGAAACGTCCTGTGAAATGCCAACTGTAACAGGGACTGAGAAGGTGTCTGGGAAGTCGATTGCCAAAGAGATGGCAACTGAGAAGTCGAATGCAGTGGTGACTGAGAAGGCAACTGTGACGACGACTGTGAAGGAAACTTGGAAAGTAATTGGAAAGGCGACTGCGACAACGACGATGAATGAGACAGTGGATGAGATAGTGACAGCGACAATGATAACCATAATGGCGGCGATGGAGTGGGTTGTGGCCTTATAGATTCGGATGGTAAAGATGTTTCTGCAGTTAAAGTTGAGGATAGTAATGAGGCAGCTGACATCAAATTACAAATTAGCCCCCCCCCCCCCCCCCTTCTTAAAAAAATAAGCAAACAAACGAGTAAACAAACATTACTAAAGAACAGGAACAACCTGAGACGTAATGATCTAGAAATGTTTGCCCAAGTGAAAATTTTATCCTGATCGTCAGAACGTCCATGAGTTCCGCTTGCTATGATAGCAGTGGTGGGTGTACCAAACGTGAACTCATAGGTAACATTTGCATTACGGTCAATGAACCTTTTACTTGATTCAATATTAAAAATAAATGGCTAATTTCTCTTACCTTTGGGAATTTCACAAATATAAGCCATATTCCTACAGTCATGGACATCACATATGTCCTGTACGCCATTAATATAGCGCTTGGATATGTAAGCTACAACTCCGCTAAATTTTGGCTGTCTTGCCAATTTAGACATGTTCAGCAGTTTTCCATTCACCCAAGTCCAATTCCCACCGTGTTTTTGTAAGCCAATGTACCACGCATCACAATAGTGATAAGTACTATTATGAAGAGTACATTTGGACATTGTGCTGCGATTTTGAATCTCGTCATTGATGAAGTTCCATTCTTCTTCGGTCTCAATGGAAACTAGGTCTCCTCCTTGACATTGGCAGATTTCTCTGCTCTTGTTCCATTTTCCTCCTTTTCTCGTAAATATATACCACGAGTTTTGAAAAGAAGTATTTGGGCATTCTACAAAATAAAGAAGATGGTAACAAATATAATAATGACCATGATGATGGTAAAAAAGAAGAATAACACAAGATCAATCAAGGATATAAATAAACTAGCCAGCAAACCGGCGTGTCGTTATTATTGATATAATTATTAGTATTTCAACCTAAATTAGCTTAGACTATATTTGAGTTCATGTCACCATTATAATTGAGATTTTCTTGTTTTGTTTTGATTGTTTTTTCTAACATTGTTGGGATCAAATTCGACTAAAATCCTACACTACCCTTGCCACCAGTCTGAAAAGGCTAAATTAATCACTAAGTAAGATGCGAATATGAGTTATCATAATTTGCAACTGCTTTTTTATTCATTATAAAATTATTCATCGCCTACACACGTAGAAGTTGCGTGAAGCTGGACTTGATATTATGTGAGCAGTGTCTCATTTTTTGGAAAATCAATTTATAAGAGAAATTTTAAGAGGGCATGTTTTAGCATATAATATATATATATATACAACCCTAACCCCTATATAAGTCCTATTGAGCCGCTTTGAACAAAATCTTTATTTACGGACACCCGTTCGTAAATTAGATGACGTGAGCATTTTTTTAACAGGCTTCAGAGTTTCCGTCCTGTTAAGCTTCAGTGAAGTTTTTCTTCTCTTTGAAATATGGAAGAAACCAGCGAAGAACTGCCCAATTTTTCTACAGGTCCTGATCCAACAAGCTACAGAAATAAAGCCGAAAAAAACTTTCAAGTTGACTCTTTGACTTTCAAAACATTTTTTAGTGACACTTGAGTTCATTTGGCTTTGATTTCCTCAATTCTCCCCGTAAATTTTGAGCTTTTCATTCACAGTTATTCCTCAAACCAAAGTATAAAATGTGGCGTGTTTTTGATTAGCCAATAGGGACGTCTGCTTACTTTTTTTTGTGCGTTGTGAGAATTTTGCAATCTACCACAATAAAAGGCTTCTTCGCGCAGATCCTTGTTGTCGCTCTGTTATAGAAGAATTGGCTCATACTTTTAGCTGTGCGTATATCGAGTTATGGATGCACTTGTGAAGTTTGGAGAGCACTCAAAAACTTAGAGTTGCTCTCAGCTGCGCCTCGAGCTACTCTTACGCATTTTTCGTGTTCTCCAAACTTCCCGCGTGCATCCATAACTCGATATACGCACGCTACAAGCATGAGCCAATTCTTCTATAACAGAACGTTTATTTACCTCCGGGCATTTCACAAATGAAGGCGTTGCTATCGTTCCAAAATATGCTGTTAAAAAGGCTCCCATTCTTGGATATTTCCGCAAGAGGTCTTCTATCTTTTGTTATAGAATCTCGCCATTTCCAAATATTCAGTCGTGCTCCACTCTCCCAAGTCCAATTTTTGGTCATTTTCCTTAAACCTATTTGCCACGCACTAGTATTCCAAGAGGAACGATTTTGAATTTCATGATTGATAAACTGCCATTCTTCTTCTGATTCGATAGAAACAAGGTAACCTCCCTGATATTTGCAGGCTTCCTTGTTCCACCACCATTGTCTTCCCCATTTCGAAAATGTGTACCAGGAATTATTGAAACATGTCTCCTGGCATTCTAAGACAAAATAAATAAGTAAA